ACAGCTTGAGATATCCCGAAGCAGGTTACGAAAGTAAGACCCATACGAATTCGGAGCCTCCGCCCGCAAAGCCCCGACGGAAGACGATCCTGTAGGCCCCATACGTTGCGTTCGCATCGATGAGCGAAAAAAAAAAAAGGTAGTCAGCATTGCTAGCGGCCCCTCGCAGAGAGTGGGCGGCCGCCTCCAGGATATGGCCCGAGTGAGGCGCGTGCCCCACGCAGAAGAATGCACCGAGAGAAGCAGCAGCCGAGTCCACAATCGGCATCGCAGGCGTCGCTTCCACCACAGCGAGACGCTGCCTCGACACGCAGCGGAACCAGGACCTCCCAGAAACATGCTGTCTGCCACGCTCCAACCACAAGGAGCAGCCACGCGAGCCCGACTCGCGACGTGGCCCACGAGGAGCCCACGACAGCCTGGCCCGGACACGGCATCTTCTCGATCCCGCGGTGCCCACACGACGGCCAGTCCCCGAGGAATCGAGACTGCTCCACCAGAAGAGCCCCGGACGCCCAGCTGCAAGCGCCCCAGCAAGCCCGAAATATGTTGGAGGGTGAGGACGTCGGCGAAAGCCATGCGGAACTTACACCCTGCGAATTGCTTAAGAAATCATGGGTTAAGAAATTCATAGTCTCAGAAACCCAACATTTCTATTAAAATCTTGGGATTTACATTGAAACATTAAGAATAATCGAGATTCTGGTCGAAATCTTAAGTTTTCTTAAGCATCGCCTAAGGTGTAAGCTGCAACGCGTCCTCGACCGCGGGCGCAGGATGCCCGGACCAAAAATCCTGGAGGCACACCAACGGCAGCGGACTGAGGCGGGCACGTGCGCTGCACAGCAGGATCCCAAGCGATAAACCGGCTGCTCTAGACCTGCGGATCGCTCAGGACCTCGGGGCGCTGAGCACGCATACCCTCCATTGTGCAGATGCGGGCCCTGCAGCATGGGCCCCCCAGGGACGCTCCCCTGGGCCCTTGATGATACCACGCCCAGCAAGCGCAGCAATCGTGTCAACATCGTCGTTCGCAGGATGTCGCACCTAACGCGCATCATCGTCGAGTTCGTTGTCGCTGTCGCTACCTCAGCCCCTCGCATCGATCGCTGCTGCTGCTGCCTCTGCATGCTCTGGCCGCAGTCCTGGGCCGAGCCATCGGCTGCCTGACTCGTCACTAGCTCCCGAGCCAGTGGCGCTCCAGGAGAGGCTGAGCAGGCTGAGCATGAGGCGGTGAAAAAGTTTATGGCGATGGCTGTTGTTGTAGCTGTCCAGGTCCCCGAGCCAGCGCAGTCACGAGCGCATCGTGCTTCCATCGTGCAGCTCCAACTTGCCGCTGATAGGATTGGATTGCGCTCGTCAGAAGGGCCAGCTGTCTCTGCATGGCAACCAGATGCGCCAACTCGTCAACTTGAACATCACGAGCAGCTGGTGAAGCGGGTGGCGCTGCAGGTTGCTGCTGTGCCCGCACCAGTCCAGCAGGCAGAGGCTGCTGCAACATCTGAGGCTGCTGCTCTGATCGCGTTGGTCGTCATCGCGTTCCTCGGCTGCAATCTCCATCTGTTCAAGGGGGGAGGCGATGCCAGCATCTCTTCGTAAGCTACCTGACGCCGATCTACCCATTCGTTGGCCAGGGCGGCCTGCTCCCCGAGCCGAAACAGTCTGGACTTCGCGTCCTCGATCTGTTGCTGGATAGTCTCCTGCCTGGCAACAGCACGCTTGAGGGTTGCCTTTTGATGGGATTATTGCTGCTCGTATGGCCTGCAAAGATGAGTACTCTTAGGTCGGGCATGTCCCCCTACAGGCGGATTGCGGGCGAAAATCAAAGACACTCAAAACATGCTCGAAATTGTCACATACGAAACAACAACCCATAAAATCGTCCCCTGACTAACTTATTTTTGAACTATTTTTGAATCTTCCTCCTGTAGAGGGACATGCCCGATTTAAGAGCACCAGTCAGAGCTGCAGCGCACCATGAAGTCGAATCGTGGGCCATCTCTCCTGCACGCTCCCGGGACTGAGTGGTGCCTGCTAACACCCGCAATTGTGTTCGACAGTCTGCAAATCAATCTAGCTGTGGCGTTGGACTCCAATTCTCCCCTCCTCCTCCTCCTCCTCCTCCTCCTCCTCCTCCTCCTCCTCCTCCTCCTCCTCCTCCTCCTCCTCCTCCACAATTACTCAATATGAATACTAGTCTCCCTCTTCCCCTGATGACGTCTTGGGAATATTCGCCCCCCCCCCGCGTACTTTTTTTTTACACACAGGTTTCCCTGGAGTTGGGTTTTCGCCTGCATTTTTGTTCCAAAATGCTACTCTCGCTGAGGCGCCGGCCTCATTTTCGGGCCCCGCTCGTTCCGAATCGTGCTCCCGCTGCAGCGCTGGCATCATTTCCGCCGGCGCCCGGGCTGCACGCCCGAGCCGGCGCCTGGGCCGGCGCTCGGGCCGGGTCCGGAGCCGGTTCCGGCCGGCGCCGGAAAATCGAGTTCCGAGGCGGCGCCGAAAAAAGGCCATTCTAATACACATTTTTCTTTTGAAAATGCTGAATTTCTGCTTCCGGCGCCCGGGAGGCCTCCCGGGCCGATTCCGACGCCCAGGCCGGCGCCCGAGCCAGCGCCCGGGCTGGACGCCCGAGCCGGCGCCCGGGCCGGCGCCCGGGCCGGGTCCGGAGCCGGTTCCGGCCGGCGCCAGAAAATCGAGTTCCGAGGCGGCGCCGAAAAAAGGCCATTCTAATACACATTTTTCTAGCTCAGGTTTTCGCCTGCAATTTTTCGCAAAATGGTGCTCTCGCTGAGGCGCCGGCCTCATTTTCGGGCCCCGCTCGTTCCGAATCGTGCTCTCGCTGCAGCGCTGGCCTCATTTCCGTGCTTCCGCTCGTTCCGAATCGTGCTCCCGCTGCAGCGCTGGCCTCATTTCCGCGCTTCCGCTCGTTTCGACTCGTGTTCCCGCTGCAGCGCTGGCGCCATTTCCCGTGCCATGCCACGGCATGCAATGCAATGCTAGGTTGATACTACGCTTCGCGGTGCTCTTCTACGCCATGCCATGCCGTGCTCTACAATGCATCGCGTACCCTTTCGGGATCATCGCCCTGCTTGACATCCGACTGTGCGAGTAGAGAGGGGATCTGCGCCATGGTAAGGGATGGGAGGGAGGGGTAGGATGTCAGATATGACACGAGCGCACCTAGCTTGTCCTCCTCCTCCTCCTCCTCCTCCTCCTCCTCCTCCTCCTTCTCCTCCTCCTCCTCCTCCTCCTCCTGCTCCTCCTCCTCCTCCTGCTCCTGCACCTGCTCCTGCTCCTGCACCTGCTCCTGCTCCTGCTCCTGCTCCTGCCCTCCCCCTCCTCCTCCTCCTCCTCCTCCTCCTCCTCCTCCTCCTCCCCTCCTCCTCCTCCTCCTCCTCCTCCTCCTCTCCTCCTCCTCCTCCTCCTCCTCCTCCTCCTCCTCCTATCTCCTCCTCCTCCTCCTCCTCCTCCTCCTCCTCCTCCTCCTCCTCCTCCTCCTCCTTCCTCCTCCTCCTGCTCCCTCTCCTCCTCCTCCTCCTCCCCCTCCTCCTCTTCCTCCTCCTCCTCCTCCTCCTCCTCCTCCTCCTCCTCGTAATCCTCCTCCTCCTCTTTTCTCATCGTAGCTGTGGCGTTGGACTCTAATTCTCCAGGCAAGTCAGGATGCATCCTCGCGTCTGACGGCAGAGCTGGAAAGATTCCCAGTCCTTTTGACATGACTGCTCATTGTTCACAACGCCCCCGTGTTCCTATTTCGGCTTTGTTGCGTCTGTACGATGAAATCCGCTCCGTGAGCCTGATTCTCTCTCTGTGTCTCGATGATCTACGCGGCTTCTGCGCCCGTTGCCGAGCACTGTTATCGGCTGGAAATGGTGGTGGAGGCACATGGCTCAGGTCGGGCTCCTTGGCAGGAACAGCCGGCGCAGGTGGCTCCATTCTATTGCCCTTCCCCTTGCTGCGTCGAAAATACTCTGCACCCTTCCCACCACCTATATCCAATCTTGTAGCATCACAGGCTCTGCACGTAGTCCTCTCGAAAAGTTTGGCGTGGCATACGCCGTGCACGTCCAAGATCGTGATGCACTTGAATTTGCCATGTTGGCAGAATTATGCGAGGAAAGTCGTCGTCTTGCCAAAATGATGTCCGTCGTCGGCAAAAAACATTGACTCGAGCTCTGGCACGGGTAGCACGCTGACGTCGGTGCCGAGCCAATTCGCTGACGTCGTACTCTTGGCCGCGGCCAGCCCTTCTCGGACGGGCTGGCGCGCTGTCTCTGGACAGAGTGCCGTATGCGAAAACGAGAGCACAGTGTGGAGCCTCACGAGGCTCGCGCCCCCGCGCCGTCGCCACGCAAGCGGAGCCAGACGGGAATTGGAAGGCGCCGGCACCCCCGCGCAAAGCCCGGGGAGGCGGGAGGGGATGCGCAAGAGGTCGGGAGGAGGGAAGATCGCGGCAGGGATCGGGAGGAGAGAGAATAACGAGAAGGAGGAGGAGGAGGAGGAGGAGGACGACGACGACGACAACGTCGCACGCCTCTGGAGCGCAGTTCGATGTCGGAGCAAACTGGACATTCTAGAACAAGAGGAAGAATGACGAGGAGGAGGAATAGGACGGGAACGATGACGAATGAGGAGAAAGGGGCGTGAACTACGAGGGGTACAGCTTGATGGGAGAGGGGGATGGAGCTAGGAGGGAGGGATGAGCAGTAGCCAATAAGAGAGCCCGACGGAGGATGAGGGGCAACAGCAGCAGGAGCAGTATCGGCATGAGGGAGGAAGACGAGGGAGGAAGACGAGGGAGGAGGAGGAGGAGGAGGAAGAGGGAGAGGAGGAGAAGGAGGAGGAGAAAGAAGAAGAAGAAGAAGAAGAAGAACAGGAGGAAACAATTAGGGTGGGGCAGGAAAAGAGAGAGAGAGAGGAAGGAACCGGTGAGGAAGAGCGAGGCGGACGATCAGTCCTTTTGGGAGAAGGAAAAGGCGCTAAGCTGCCGAGTCCCGCGCAAGGTCTCACTCCTGAGCTGGCCGTACTTGCGCAGCCGGCTCGAAGTGAAGGGCAGCACCTCGTCGTACTTTGAGTCGAAGCCTCCAGTCCAGCGTGACGACTAATGCGGGTGGTGGTGGTAAGAGTGAAGAACAGGTGAAATGGAATGGCGGGGTCGACGGGGAGGAAGAGGAAGAGAAGGCCGAGCACGAGGAAAGGGGAGGGGGCGGGAAAGCAGAGGGGAAAGGGAGAGGAACGGGAAGAAGGGAGGGGTGATGGGCGAAAGAGGCTGGAGGAGATAGTTGAAGGACGGAAGCGGAGGAGGATGTGGCAGGACGAAAGCACGGGAATAACGCCAAGTACGTGGGCCGCGACGAACCGACAGAGGAGATATTGACGAGTGAGGGAGATGAGAGGGGGGAGGGGAAATGGCGGAGGGGAAAGAGTGGGGGAGGAGACGGGAGGGCAGGACGGGAGAGGGGAGGGACGAGGACAGAGGACTCGGAGCTGTAGGACTGGGGCGGTGGATGCGGAAAGGAGGAGCGGGATCAGGGAGGGCAGCAGCAGGAGCAGCAGGAAGGGGGGGATGAGTTTGAGTGAGCCTTCATGGGAGCCTCTGTGGACCTCCGCAGCCCTATCATAAACGTGATTTCGACCAGGCTTCGTCCAGATTTCGACCACCCCTCTTCACTCTTTCGTCCAGATTTCGTCCAGACGTCGACCAACCCCGGCGTCGCGGACCTGCGCGCAGCGCCATGGCGAAGAAGGTCGAAAAGCAGCAACCGAGCGCGCGCGACAAAGCCCGCCCGAGTCCTCCGAGACCACGAATGTTAAGGGAGGAGGAAACACAGACACAGCATCAGAAGTACCATCAGGAAGAGCACGGAGGACGCGGCGGCGCTTGAGGGGAAGAGGATGAGAGAACCTATATGGGAGCTCTGGGAACCTGTTCGGGCTAACAGAATGAACGTTGGCTCCCGCACGCAAGTACCGGGCGGCCTCGCAGGAAGAGGTAGCGGTTCCTTTCTCGAGAACTCTCACGCCCTAGGGTTTGCGATTGCTGTCACTTGTGCCGGTCACTTTTGCTAAACATCGTGGGAAGCTGCGTTAGAGCGGGCACGGGGGGTATTCTGTAACCTAGTGCCCCCGATGATAAATCATCACCCCCGCTTTCCCCCCTGAATATGTATTATCCCGTGTCAATGGGATTTAAAGGCGCGCAGGCCGAATTTGATAATCCCCGGGGGAAGTTGCGAATCAAAGTTGCTATAATTTCATGCTGACTCACAACAGCACTAAAAAACGCTGAACATGGCAATGGTGGTCTCACCATGTCAGTTTTCGTAATCACGACCGCGTGGTAGGGCTTTTAGATTCTCACCATTTCAGTTTTCCCTAATCACGAACGTGCGGCAGGGCCATGGGATTCTCACTTTCTCAGCCGCTCCCGAGTCAGGAAAGTGTGAGAGGGCCATGGGGACCGATTCGATTTTGAAGTTACATGCGTTTGTCGAGCAGGCAGAGCATTGGATTTACTTTTTAGCGCATCCCTCACACGGTTCGTGGACCCTCCTCCTCCTCCTCCTCCTCCTCATCCTCCTCCTCCTCCGCAACTGCCCGGGCTCGAGCTTCCCCGAGTCTCCGAGACTCCAAACTTTCGAGCTCTGTCGAGACACCGAGCCTCTTCGCCCCAGGGGCAACGATAAATGGGGATAGGCATAAGGGGATACATCGATCCCCAATCGCCTGTGATCGCAGAGAATGGTTCGATGTCCTGAACCTGCCCAGGAACGCGCGCATTCACGATCGGGCAATCGCCGATGCATCGACGATGTATCGCCGATTCCAGGTCGACGTTCCCCCCTCATGCCTATCCCCCCCACATCGTTGCCCCTCCAGCGCGTCGCGAGCTTCGCAGATGGCTCACCCCGCCGAGCGCGCCCAGGCGCTGACCCAGCAGGTCGAGTCCCTGAAGAACGTAGCGACCCAGAGCACGAGCCCGAGCGCGAACGAGATTCTCGAGCGCACGGCCAAGCAGAACGAGAAGATCCTCGACAAGCTGGCCTTCATCGCGGACAAGATCGCCATTGCCGAGATGCGCCAATGCCGATCGAGCGCGCAAGGCATTGACGCAGCAAGAGTGACTGCCTGGTTTTAAGGCGGACAGCGCCTCGTGGTCGGCGACCCCCCGGCAAGTCGTCCTCGGGATGGTCTACAGAGGCGGTTCTCTCAAGAGCATCGAGCACGGGCACATTATCAAAGAGCAGAGCAGGAGGCGCGTCGAGCTGACGGTGGCGCTGTTCCACAGGACCTTCTGCGCGAAAGACAAGTCCCTTTACGACATCATCGGAAATCACTGGGAGCCGCCCGAGAACCTCGCCTGGCTCATGCCGAGCTTCAAGTCGAAGATGCTCGAGCTTGCCAAGAAGAAAGACATCGAGCTCGGCCCCGAGAGCGCAGCTTCGGCACCTACACCGAACGCGCCGGCAAGGCTCTCCCCGAGATCCCCTCCGAGCCCCTCAACCTCCACGACCTCGTGCTGCCGATCAACAAGAGCTTCGAGCCCATCGAGAAGATGCCCGAGGACTTCTCCTCCGGCGCGCCAAGCGATCAGCTCTTCGAGCTGAACCCCAACAAGGCTAAGTCCTTCGTCAACTGGCGCTGCGAGAACGGCGCGGTAGAGAGCGAGGACCACGCACGAGCCACCACGCAAGCGGTCGTCAAGCGGCGCTGGAGCCCCAAGTGCACTGCCGACATGGCCTACGAGCTCCAGCACGACATGCACATGGACAAGCGCTCCAAGCATGACTACGCAAACACCGAGAAGCAGCTGCGCTTCGAGACGCTGGCCCTCGACCAGCACATCAAGACGCGCGACGACCGCGCCAAGATGCCCAGCTTGCGCGAGCCCGAGAAGAGCGAGGCCGACGCGAAGGCCGAGCCAGAGGCCGACAAGTCGACGCCGAAAGACGCCTGGGAGCCGAGCGGCGGCGAGCGGCGAGCGCCTGGCGCACGCGCGCCCCGAGATAAGCGCCCCCATGCTTTTCGCTACGAGGGTGCCGCGCGAGCGTCCCGATGAACACGCTCGAGCCCCATCTGTTTTCAAGCTCCAAGCGAAAGTTCGAGCACACGCGAGTGGCGTTCCAAGCTGCGGGGTGCTGCCCCCCCATCTCGCCGAGTGATCCTCGATCAAGCATCAAACAATCAAGCTGGATCGATCCTCCATCCTCGGATCGGGGGCCCGAGATCTTGAGTCCGAGCATCTTCGGGCACCTTGGATCCTAGATCCGAAGATCGCCATGCTTGGACTCGAGGATCCTGGATTCGCGATCCGAGGATCGAGGATCGAGCCTCGGCGATCGTCGATCGCCCCCGTCGCCGCTGCCAGGCCCAGACCGCCATCAAGGAAGCTCGATCCTCGATCCTCGGATCGAGGATCCGAGATCTTGGCCCCGAGCATCTTCGAGCGCCTGGGATCCTAGATCCGAGGATCGCCGCGCTTGGACTCGAAGATCCCAAGTTCGCGATCCGAGGATCGAGGATGGAGCCTCGGCGATCGTCGATCTCCCTCGTCGCCGTCCTCGGGCCCAGACTGCCACCACGCAGGCTCGATCCTCGATCCTCGGATCGAGGATCCGAGACCTTGGTCTTGAGCATCTGCGAGCACCTCGGATACCATATCCGAGGGTCGCCAAGCTTGGACTCGAGGATCCTGGATTCGCGATCCGAGGATCGAGGATCAAGCCTGGGCGATCGTCGATCGCCCCCGTCGTCGACCTCGGGCCCAGACCGCAATCAAGGAAGCTCGATCCTCGATCCTCGGATCGAGGATCCGAGATCTTGGCCCCGAGCATCTTCGAGCGCCTTGGACCCTAGACCCGAGGATCGCCACACTTGGACTCGAAGATCTCGGGTTCGCGATCCGAGGATCGAGGATCGAGCCTCGGCGATCGTCGACCTCCCTCGTCGCCGTCCTCGGGCCCAGACTGCCACCACGCAGGCTCGATCCTCGATCCTCGGATCGAGGATCCGAGATCTTGGTCTTGAGCATCTGCGAACACCTCGGATCCTAGATCCGAGGATCGCCAGGCTTGGACTCGAGCATCCTGAGCCCTCGATCCGAGGATCGAGGATCGAGCCTCGACACCTAGCGGACACACGCACACACACACACACATACACGCACACACACACACACACACACACACACACACACACACACACACACACACACACACACACACACACACACACGCGCGCGCGCGCGCGCGCGCGCACACAAACACACACACACACACACACGCACACGCACACGCACACGCACACAAACACAAACACAAACACAAACACAAACACAAACACAAACACAACACAAACACAAAACACAAACACAAACACAACACAAACACAAACACACACACACACACAAACACACACACACACGCACGCACGCACGCACGCACGCACGCACACACACACACACACACACACACACACACACACACACACGCACGCACGCACGCACGCACGCACACACACACACACACACACACACACACTCACAATCACACCCACTCTCTCACACACACACACACACACACACACGCACACACATACATACACAGAAACAACACACACGCAAACGCACACACACACTCATTTAAACGCACGCACACACACAGTCAAACACACACACACACACCAACACACATACACACACTCACACACCCACACACCCACACACAATAACAAAAGCACAAACAACAGCAGCCACAACAGAAACAGCAACCAGCAAAACAAGATCATCAACAACAACACAAGCAACAGCAAGCACAGCAACAGCACCAGCAACCAGCGCAACAGCAGGCCACAACAGAAACAAGACAAACAACAACTACACAAACAACAGCTGCCACAACAGCACAGGCCAAGCCCACCGCATCGCCGATGCATCGCCGAGGCCCGCCGATGCATCGCCGAGGTGGCGCAAGCAACGTGGCGCAATGGGTGCAAGCGCTGTTCTGGTCAAGCCCGCTGATGACGCAGCACTTTCCGTGGCCCATTTAGGATCAAGCCTTCCAAGCCCCTGTTCCGCTCCGGCA